TAATATATTCAAAGTATTTAACCTGGGTGGCCCAATCAGTCAAAAAGATTGGTCACCTTTGGGGCCCTACAGTAGATAAAATTCAAAAGTTAAAAAAAATATGTAAGTAAAAACACAATAATTATTTTAATTAGACTTTATACACTGACAATACAAATTACAACAGGACTATAGCCAATGATAGAGAGGGCAAACTGGTGTCAAGCACTCTAAAAACAGCCCAGACCATAATATTGCATTGACCATAACTATCCACTGTAAAAAATAAACAACAATAAATAATGTTAACAATATAAATAGATAATTTCAATTTGACACTTGGCACAGTGACAACAGGTAACATATGTGCTGACATTTTCCATGAATTGCTCTTAGTAACAACTCGATTAAAGTAAATTAATTTATTTTTAAAAATGTTACAAACATCAAAGAGCTAAAATATTGACGCCTTTGATTGCATCACTTAATCAATAAAAAAATAAACAACAATAAATAATGTTAACAATATAAATAGACAATTTCAGTTTGACACTTGGCACAGTGACAACAAGTAACATATGTGCTGACATTTTCCATGAATTGTTCTTAGTAACAACTCAATTAAAGTAAATTAATTTATTTGTAAAAATGTTACAAACATCTAAGAGCTAAAATATTGACGCCTTTGATTGCATCACTTAATCCATTAAAATTTTGTTTATAAATGAATAAATAGTTGAATCACTGTCCTTGTTTCTAAAGAACAGGTTCATTGAATAAAAATTTTCGCTAGTAGTTATTGTATGATCAGGCGAGACTTTTTTTATTCCTTGTTCTTAGAAGTTATTTTTTTAAAGATCGTAAGAGGAGGGTGAAAAAAGGTATGTTTTGTTATTTAGCAATAGTTTTGCCAAAAACATCCAAACGGAGGAGAAAATAAAATAAAATTTTATTGGTGAATCTACAGTAAACATTATACAGTAGTAATGAGATGGTTAAATGCTAATAAATTTACTGTACATAAATAGGAAGAAATACTACTATATTATTTTTTACAGATTTCATTCAAGGCAGCAGCAGGTGTAATAAAAATAAAGAAAAACTTTTATTTTTTCTGAAATTTCTATTTTTTCATTGCAGCGGTTGCACTAATTGGCCAAATATAAAATTGTATTTTTATTCAAGACCACCATTATTGGCAGGGGGCCGGTTTGTTAAACAGGGTTTAAAAAATGTCTCTCCTAAGCTTTGAACTTTGCAATTCCCAATTCCTGATTTATCAACAATTTTAAATACTGCCCTCTATAGGTATAATCAATTTCATGCTAAAATAAATACTTTATAGTGCAGTATTAACAATAAACTCCATACTCATTGTACTGTATAGTAATGCAATTACAGTGCTGCAGAAATGTATGGTTAAAGGGCACCATGCATGAGTAACCAAAAAATTAAAATAATAATCAATTTGGTGTAGAATACAATATGGCCACTGCTAGGCTACACCATAATTTACATCCAAGGTTACATAAAAACAAAATGAGCGTGCTATCTATATATTTGCAATGGTTTTTTTCTTATGTGAATGTTACAAAAGAATAATTAAATAAGTAAATAAAGAAATAACCTGCATTTGTATCTTTCCTATTAAATCAATTGTTGAACCTTGCTAATCTTAAACAGTGTGTCTTCACAATCCATATTTTGAAAAAAAAAAAAATACAACAATCATCATGTACGGGAAGCCTTCTCTTTTAGGGTATGGAGAAAGTCACAGTTTAGAATATGTTTTTTTGTACTAATGGAAAAAAAATGGCTGAACTACTGATCACCATTACGTTATCTTCATTAGTTAAACCTATACTTTTCACAAGATAGATGATGTGTGTCACCGCTCCTATTCATAGATATGTTATGTTTTCTAATAATACTGATCATTTTTTTAAAATTTTGCATTTTATCCATCCTTGTTCTAGCTGTTATGTTTATTCCAGGCAAATAATTTTCTGATGCAGTTCTAAAAGCTCATCTTTAAATTCCTGAATAGTACCTTATTTATAAATTTGTGGTGTTCGTTAATTCTAATTTTAAGTTCTTTACTTGTTTGTGAAATTGTAATTTTGCAAACCATATGACAATGACATATTTGACAATAATCATAAAAGACACTTATGTGGTCATGATGACAAAGGTTCTGTACTTTAAAAAGCATACAGTAAAAAAGATAATTCAATTGTGTTTTATATGCATTTTTTTAACATCCTGTTTCAAAAATTTGATTTTGTTTGAAAATACTTAGCTCATTTGGTAGAATATGATAAAGGTACTAGGTTGGGGTTCAAGAGAGATAAAATTATCAAGTAACCATAAGGAAGTGAAAAGCTTTTAATGTGTTTAGCTGTGTTGAATAAATGGTGTCCAATCCAGTCAATAACTTAGGACCCTTAATGAAAATATTAAAGTCTTTGAGATTTGGAAGTGGTTTTGATTTCTTTTGAACAGTAAGCTGATGAGATTGCAATAAATAGAGAAAGCCATAATTATAAATTAAAATTATTGATTTTTTCACATAATAAGAATAACCTTGTCTATAAATTCCATAATTATTATTATTATTATTGTAATAATATTTATGAATTTTTTTAGTTGCATAATATTTATTATTGATTTCAAAGTCTACTTTAAACTGGAGTGTATGAGGAAACTTACTGTTTTATAGCTGAACATTTGGTAGTTAGTGTTATCGACATATTTACCTTTGTGTTGACATTTCCAGTCTGTTTAATAATTATTCTATCCCTTTGACCTTAAAATTGGGACACACCCACTTTTGAAAGCAGGTCATTAATATTTATGAGTCATTCGAAATGATCTATTGTATCCTGTTACCACATTGTGAAGTGTTCGGTGAAGCGTAGCGACCAACACAACAGCATCAGACCACCTTTTCTGCACAGTTAATTTAGATTTCATTCGCCAGACACAGGCAGTGAGTGTGTTCAGTGTACTTGGTGATTGCTTAGCTATTAATAATTCAACCTGATGTCGTGATATGTGGTTTCCTACCAAGCTCATCTTCTCGGAGGCTTGTAGACATCATTAATTCCATTCTAGATGGTACCATTGTCACCACAGGAGAATTTTCTGCCTGTTGTACATTTACTCAACATCTAGAGTAAACCGTGGCAATCATTCTGTGTTTGTCAAGGGTGTTTTTAAAGAAGTCACAGTATTTGAAAGCATCCAGGCTAAAGTGAAAAAATACCTGTGACTATGTGTTGTTATACTTAAATGAAGATTTGAAGGCAGTGACATTGGCAAAGGAAACTAAAACAGGGCTGTTAATAAACGTCCAGTTTTTAAAATATTTTTTCTTGCTTTGGAATAAAGTTACTTAATTTACATGTTCAAGATGGTATTTGGAAGAACCAAGTCTCAGAGTCGACAGTTACAGGTTGGTTATTTTGGGGGTCTGATGGTAGCTACGCTACTATTTGTCTTGTATTCTATGTGATGGGGCAGCTGACTGTCAATGAGTTAAAGTATAATTTTGCTTAAGCTGCCCCTGATCAAAATTTGTGCATTGTACCGTTTGTAAATGTGCATTGGTCGAATCAATAAATGAAATGAAAATGAAATGTTATTGGACAAATTATCATACAGTACTGTATCTTGTAATTTTTGATGGGGTCTCCCTCAGTTTAAAAGCCATGATACTATAGCTTAGTAATAAAATAATATCCAGAATAAATGGCAACTATATTTTGGGATTCCAATAAATGATTATTTTATGACAAATATTTTTTAAAAAGAGGAAAAGAGACCACTCTGCTTATTTTGTGTGTAAAAACGCAACCTCAGATAAGCAGCTAAAAGGAGGGCGCCCACTGCAATCTGAATGTGTTTTGTACCAAGAAGTTCCCACTACGGTTTGTTTGTTTTATTTGTTCTCCACACAATAGTGCAACAATGCTTCTTTTCAGTGCAATATAGCAGGTCCACACTAATGATATGAAATAGATTTTTAAAAGAGAACTAGCAAAATGATCTTTCGTTTTGGAGGAGATTTTAGATATGCCATTAATTATACAATCAACCTTAAAATCGTTATTTGACAATTGTTTATGAAGTTATAGGCCATTATATACGATTCTACTGTGACGTCACTGGCGAAAAAAGTAACAAAAGATTGTGTATATAGCACCGCATAGGGTATCCACCGCATACGATCTTTGCGTCACGATTAAATAATATATAATGGCCTATAACTTCATAAGAAATTGCCAAAAAACAATTTTAAGGTTGATTCTATTATTAATGGCATATCAAAATTCCCCTCTAGAACAAAAAATCATTTTGCTAGTTCTCTTTTAAAGTAAAATAGAGGAAACAAAAATTTTACTCTCTGTTTTTAAAATGTCCTGTTGACCTTAACACATTATTGTGGAAGACAGTAATGATTGAATTATGAATAGGTATATTGATAGGGTAATAATTGTATGGCCTGGAGAAAAAATAATATGCAGACCATAGAAATAATGTTATTTTACACTCAGCTCAACAGTGAAAATGAGTGATTCTGCCGATTATCAGTCGCACACTTTGAAATTGCTGGAGATTGCAGCTCCAATATTTGTATTAATGGGGTTCCTTTGATTGTTGAACATCTCTGTAGCGTAAATGCATCCTGTTATAAGCGAGTGACTGTACTTTCAGTTTCACTATGTCAGTTTTAGTTTCTGTAGTCCACACCCACAATGTAGTCAGATTGACCTTGGGATTTTAGTAAATTTTGTAGTAAGAAAGTGGAGGGAGTACACAATTCATCCTCTGGATCCGTCATTGCAAGGTAATAACAAAACATAGTATGGCAGATTGTTTTTTAATACTCTTAGGCTTAGGTAAATCTTATAGGCATTATTGTAGTGCATGGTGTTATAGAATACAGAAGTGGACTTAAATAGAAGCATCTATGTGATAAATCTGGATATTCAACAGTTAAGAATAGCTTTTCAAGAGACATTATCTGGTATTCTTGTAAGTGGCAAATCTAATTAAAAGCAATTGCCAGTATACACAAGATGTATACATTCAGTGATTTATATTTGCTTACATTACATCTAACAACAACTTACCAATTACAGTACTACAGGATGAAGCTACTGTATGCATACAGTACTGCCTCTTTATGCAGCTATAGGAGGGCGCCCACTGCAATCTGAATGTGTATGTACCAAGAAGTTCCCACTACGGTTTGTTTGTTTTATTTGTTCTCCACACAATAGTGCAACAATGCTTCTTTTCAGTGCAATATAGCAGGTCCACACTAATGATATGAAATAGATTTTTAAAGTAAAATAGAGGAAACAAAAATATTACTCTCTGTTTTTAAAATGCCCTGTTGACCTTAACACATTATTGTGGAAGACAGTAATGATTGAATTATGAATAGGTATATTGATAGGGTAATAATTGTATGGCCTGGAGAAAAAATAATATGCAGACCATAGAAGTAATATTATTTTACACTCAGCTCAACAGTGAAAATGAGTGATTCTGCCGATTATCAGTCGCACACTTTGAAATTGCTGGAGATTGCAGCTCCAATATTTGTATTAATGGGGTTCCTTTGATTGTTGAACATCTCTGTAGCGTAAATGCATCCTGTTATAAGCGAATGACTGTACTTTCAGTTTCACTATGTCAGTTTTAGTTTCTGTAGTCCACACCCACAATGTAGCCAGATTGACCTTGGGATTTTAATAAATTTTGTAGTAAGAAAGTGGAGGGAGTACACGATTCACCCTCTGGATCCGTCATTGCAAGGTAATAACAAAACATAGTATGGCAGATTGTTTTTTAATACTCTTAGGCTTAGGTAAATCTTATAGGCATTATTGTAGTGCATGGTGTTATAGAATACAGAAGTGGACTTAAATAGAAGCATCTATGTGATAAATCTGGATATTCGACAGTTAAGAATAGCTTTTCAAGAGACATTATCTGGTATTCTTGTAAGTGGCAAATCTAATTAAAAGCAATCGACAGTATACACAAGATGCATACATTCAGTGATTTATATTTGCTTACATTACATCTAACAACAACTTACCAATTACAGTACTACAGGATGAAGCTACTGTATGCATACAGTACTGCCTCTTTACTCATCGTGAACCATATTGGGAGTTGAGTTGTAGTCATGAGAAAAATTAATGATATGATTTGAACCCAGGAGCATGGAATTAGAAGCCGAGTGCCATTTAAATATACTGTAGACTTGCTGTCTCTGTAATGCTAGTGAACTTGATTGAACAATATCAATTTATTCATATTCTGATATTTACATTATAGTTATTAGCTCCATTTGTGAATTTGAACAAGAGAATAAATATTTATACTTACAATACAGTAATATACATTCCTTTGTTCGATTACTATTACATCCTTTAATGATACAGTAGGTTCTTTATTTATTTTTTTTTGCCACTCCGAAATTTAGGAACTCTTCCATCCATCTACTCTCTTTCATCCACCTAAACTTAGATCAACTTTTGATACTGCTACCAAACCCTCCTAAAACTTATGTCCTTAAATCAATAATTCTTATATCTTTTAAGTGCCAGTGAAAAATTATATAAGCACTATACAAAAATTAACTGCCAATTTATTTATGTTCAGTAGTACTCAATTTAAAGATTTTAAGGGAAAAATTGGAACTTTCTTCCATGTCACTATAAATGATTAATTTTTGATGATTTTAACTTAGCAATTCAAAATTGTCATTGACTTTTTTAAAAGGTTCTTGCAGATTTTACCGTGATGCAGTACAGTATATTGTTAATTAAACTATGATCGCTATTATTTATTTTTTATTTTGACTATTTAAATGTAGAGGTAAAAAATCTCCTATACTGCAATTTATCGACCGCGTATTTTTTTCCCCCAGTAGGAACTGAGCAATTGAGAATTTATAATTTACCGGAAAATAAATATTGTAACCTGGAAGCTATAGGCCTAGATATTTACTGGTATGTTACTTTTTACAGTGAACAAACAATATTTATGTTATTCTTTAAAACTAAAAAGAAAAAAAAAATCAGACCATAGCAAATATACTGAAAAGACCAACTGGATAACTTCTCTACCAGCAGCATACTGCCATACTGAAAGGTGGGGCTTTCTTGAGGAAAAATATTAGGCCTAGAATATCCCCTTGTGCAGTCTGTAAATGAGGGCATATTTTTGAAAAATTAGGCTTAAAGGTTATTTCTAAATGTAATTACAATGTAAATACTCAGTGGCTGAGTTTATTTTAGCTGCAAACCTATTTTCGGAATGATTGTCTGCTTAAATTTCAGATGATAGTAGCTAAAGTATTCCTTTACACAAATATAGTAATTACTTTTAGTGTGAGAATACTATGCCAACTTCCCAATGGTATTTTATCTCATGGACATACTTTACAGTAATATGATATTTTAGGATGATAAATGTTTTTGGTTTCTTAAATTAAGATAGACTAAGATACACACATTTTGTGATGTTCATTTGAATAATAATAATAAAATAATAATATAGGGATTTATACCTCACCTTTTGCCAAGGGATACAAGGCGCTGACTATGTTGTTATTATTACCCCTGGCCCTGGTCATCGGATCCATAACAAAACCAACACAAGTGCAACCTACTCCACTCCCTCGGGAGTAGACCTATTCAGGCATACAATTTAATGCCAAACAAACTATAGTAATACTGTACATGCAATGCCACAGCTTCCTACCAGGTACCCATTTATATTACTGGGTGCCTTGCCCAAGGGCACAAGCAATATGATGAGTGCAGGTCTCGAACTCCTGATCTCACAATCACAAGTCCAACACCTTGCACGCTGCGCCACATGATCTTACACGCTTAATAAAATTCTGTTTAAAACCTAAGAAACAGTAATCTTACTAGCTTAAATCTTCTATTAGAGCATGTTTTATACTTGGCCTTAAGATCACTTTTGAACCAGACCTATATACAGCAAAGAGAGCTTTTTTTATGATACTGTATTTTGAATTTTCAGATGATTGATAGAATGACAGTATACTGTACTGCAGTAAAAAAAAATTGCAATCTGAGATATATTTGCCATTAATTTAACCATGAATAATGCTTTACTATCATATTACATGTTCATAAATATATGGTTCTTCAGTTTCTTGCCACCAGTAAAATTATATTGTAACTCACTGCAATTCTATATTTAATGTACTAGTAATCTTTGTAAACAAAACACTCATATGATCAGTTGCTCTTGAAGTTAATGATTACTATCTCGCTTATTTCTTTTTTGTTTGTTTACATAACTGCCCACTTGCAGGCAAGTAGACACTTTTCTATCATCTCTATAATTGTAAGAGTAAATTTGGGTGGAGATGCGAGATGCTGCCATTGCATCGTAAATTAAATGAACAGTCTTGCTAACCATCCCACGAGTTTGAAAAGATTTTTGGATGATTTTTGTATTATACCGGGTGTATAAGACCACCCCGGTATTCCAACTTTTTGCTGGGCATCAAAATCTTATTTCCCTGCTTTTAATTGCATTCATTCATACTAACGGTTAATAGCTTAATTTCAGTAGTAGTACTTGTTACAGGCGACAGTACTGTAAAGGCCAACTCAGACAGCATCGGCCGACCAGGCCAACCCGATTTATCGTCGGGGACAGTTTTAAGCCGTCGTGAGAAATATTAAACATGTTTAATATTCTACTACGCGACTGCCCCTGACGCACACCATCGCACCTGCGTTTAACTCACACAGATCCGACGCGACAACAAATCACGTCGGGCTGCATCGTACGACGCTGTCTGAGTTGGCCTTAAGACGATCATGTCAATTTAAAATTCTAACATTTTTACATATTGCTTGTATAAGACGACCCTCCCCCCTCTATTTTTTTTTTTTTTATAGTAATTTGCCATTTGAAGCCTTGCCTTATACAAGAGTATCATAAACCCTGAAGTGGTTGAATAATCAGTCTAGGGATTTTTTTATTTTTCTAGCAACATAAAAAGCGGATTGGTTTGATCTACCACCATCAGGTGTTTAGCCAGAAAAAAGAAATATGCCGTCAGAAATAGAAGACGATCACTTGTCATGTAGTGACAGCTGAGATGCAAAGCCCCGAGCTTAGGTGGGTGGGTGGTATTAACGCGGTAAAAGTGGCCTTCATAAATAATTGTTGGCCGTCCAAAAGACAGCCGAACGGCTCGCTGGCTCAGCCTTTGACCACCATACATGTCTCATTGTCAAGTAGTTGTGGGTCGGACTCCAAACCTTGACGTAGGGGGAGTTGGTACAAGACCCTTGTGCAATCCCTAAATTGTGTCCCTGGGCAATCATTTTTTTTTATGTTAGTTTCAGTTTGGGGCCTACTCATCACATGATTATTTATGAAATGAAAACTAACTTATGCCAGGAGGATAAATAGGCTTGTTGTGTGGGAGAATTTGGGAACACCCCTCCCTACTGTACGGTATATTAGTGCAGTATAGAGCACAAATGCCAGGGAAAGATGAGATGGGCTCCCTGGTTATAATATTAGCGCTCCGGTTCAACTTACTGTAACTTGCGCACCCATGGAAAGTTGAGTAGTTTCTCGTCCTAATATTTTGAATATGGGTATTACCAAGTAGACACATTGAAAGCAAATAAAAGGAGTCACTAGACATGATTCATACCATGTATCCCCAACTATGAACAATTGAGGAATTTTGGGAATGTGAGTTTTCCAGATAATCTGTACATTTCGTAAAATAAAGGGAATAAAAAAAAAATTTTTTTTTTAATTGGTGAGGTAGAGAAAATCGATGGGCGAGGGACGAGAATCTAGTAATTTTTTTTTTATTTAGCCTTATCTACAGTAAGTATTTGTGTATAATATTTAAAACATTGATTTGTTAAAACTTTATGGCCTACCATTATATTTTGATGCTTGGTTTGAATTGAACTTGTTAATATTAATGTTAAAACTCTGTTAGCTGGTTCAGTTGTGAGAAATGTATAAATCATGAATTCTAGAAGTCTTTAAAATTTATGGTTAACATGATCATTAAATTTCATGTTATTCAATTCTAATAATACCTGTACTGTAGCTAAACTGGAACCAAAATAAGGTGGACCTTCAGTAGCCTAAATATTTACATAAAAGAGCTTTGTTTCTGCCAAACAAGGACTTATGTATGATGATTAATAAAGCTGTCTTGCAGTCTAAGTGCACACATAAACTGTGTCAGAGGTCAAGGCATGTAAACAAACAGTCTGCCACCTTTTAAACTGTAGTCTGCATAATTTTTTAAAGCATTAATATTTAGCCAAAAGTGCTACAGTTTGTGTCTACAATATGTGCTTGTGTCGCGGAGTTAGACATTGAGTGTTGTCTTTAGTTTTTACCAAATGCAAATCATGGTATCTTGTTCACCTAATTGTTGATTGAAGAATATTGCAAATAACCAATTTTATTAATCTTGGGCAGTGGTGTTTATGGATTTGGCTATGCTTATACTGATAGTTTTAAAATTCCAATCTATAGGACTGCGATCTTACAAGTTACATTAATGCAAGTCACACTTGGAAAGCAGGTTACTTTGTTGTTAAAGATTTTACATGTATTGAAAACTTGGCACACATGTCGGCTTAAATGCTTGTTTACACTATAACGATAACGATCAACAATAAAAAGTTAAAAAGCAATTTTCATGTATAAAATAAATGAGACATTTCACACTAGCACGATTTGATAATGATTTATCGTGAATATTTCTTTTATTTTCTGTATGCATATTTGGTTTTTATCGTTGATCGTTATCGTTATACTGTAATGGAAACAGGCTTTTATACAGTGACATTGGTGACAAATGAGCAGTTTCAGAATACAAGTAATACAAGTTGCTATAATTATAATATTTTATTAGTGATCTTTTACCTTGAATAGACACAATCCATCAGGGTTAAGGGGCTATTTGGCCCGTTATAAACCCATGTGTTTATTTCTTTTGTTAATTTTTTTTTATAATTAATGTAATGACCACAAGGGTAATGATGATGTAATCACTGAAGGTTATCATTACCTCTATCACATTTTATCAGAATGTATCATCAGATCAACAACAACTTTTATCTTCATATTTTATCAATAATCATGCAATGGTTATGAAATAAAAACTAATAAAATTTATTTCCTTAAAATACAGTATCGACAACTATTTTTCAATTTCTTATTTGCAGAAAGCAGACCCTGAGCAGCTGTACACAAAGCTTGAGAAAATTGGGAAAGGTTCGTTTGGCGAGGTGTTCAAAGGAATTGACAACAAGACGAAAGAAGTGGTTGCCATCAAAATCATTGATCTGGAAGAGGCAGAAGATGAGATAGAAGACATCCAACAGGAGATAACAGTTCTCAGTCAATGTGACTCACCATTTGTCACCAAATATCATGGATCATATTTGAAAGTAAGTCTTAAGGTTAATTTGTGGATTGTTAAAGTCACTAGAGTAATGGACCAAGGGTCCTGAGTCTCCTCCAAGTCACATCTCAGAAATGGAGATGGTCTCTTGCGCTCCTGCAAGAATTAGAAAATCTAAGCCTATCTCATTAGGAGCCTATATTTACCAGTTTTTATTGTCAGTTGTCTCCTGGATGTTGGCTGGTAAAATGTACAATATCACCATGTGCAGCAGAGTGTATGGATGTGTTTACCTTTAGATATCCCAGTTCTTCCAACTAAGGGCCCCTGCAGTACATTGTATGGATACAGGAGAAGAATTAAAACTGAAACATCACAAAAACAAATGTTCTTAAAATGGTTTATACAGTGAGAAGACTATTATTTTATTCTTTTTTTTCTATTTAGTTTTCTTTTTTCTCTTAATAATTGATGTGTACTGTTCTGTTTATTGCATCTTTTGTGATCACAATAAACACAAACAATTTCCGAAGAGTTGTACAAGTTATTGTCATGTTACAACTTCTGCTGCATGTATGTAGAATCAATAATGTCTGGTCATGGTCAAAATGAAAGTACTCTAGACTATACCTTTGCATGTATTTTCCCTTTGTACTAATTTTAACAGCTGGGTTAGGCACCGAAAGGAGTTTTGTCCTATACTGTAGCACTGTAGTAGGCCTACTACAGTACTATAATAATGTAATTTTTTTTTTGTATGTTTAACTGAATTTTTAAATCCAAAGATTTAAAAAAACCAAGCAAGAAACAATGGTACTTTGTATTCTTTAACATATTTGAGATTGTCTGCATGTATGATCACCACGTTGAGCAAGGATATTCAACCAGACACAGCAATTTAGTTTATTGTTTGGTTTTCAGTTGTCCTTAATGCAATGAGTATGATTTAAATGAAGAATAATTTTAAGTCAGATCATTCCCACTTCTCCAAGTTCTTGCGTCCAAATCTCAATTCTGCCAATTACCGGTATATTGGATTTTTCTGATTTATTTATTTATTTCCGTCTTTTGTGTGATAACACTTTCAGTGACATAGCACTGGTATCACAAGTGGATCACAAGTAAAACGAATGAAAGAGAAACCAAAATGAAAAAAAAAAAAAAATAAAAAAAATAAATAAAACTTAAAGCAAAAACTAATGAGTAAAAGACAAAACAAATTGTACATAAATATAAAATTACAGCATCGAAAGAAAAAAAAAAAACTTAAAACAAACAACAAAAAGGGAAGAGGTAAGATGAAAATCAGTAAAATTTTGATACCATATTTTGTCAAGAAGAGGGTAAATAGAACTGACAATTAATTATTTTCAGTGGCGGATTCAAGAGGGAGCCCAGCTGGCCCTCATCCCCCACTAAATTTTTCAAAACTATAGATAAAAATGGAGAAAAGAAGAAATTATATTCAAATTTAAATTCCGTTATGACTGACAATTAATTATTTTCAGTGGCGGATTCAAGAGGGAGCCCAGCTGGCCCTCATCCCCCACTAAATTTTTCAAAACTATAGATAAAAATGGAGAAAAGAAGAAATTATATTCAAATTTAAATTCCGTTATGACTGACAATTAATTATTTTCAGTGGCGGATTCAAGAGGGAGCCCAGCTGGCCCTCATCCCCCACTAAATTTTTCAAAACTATAGATAAAAATGGAGAAAAGAAGAAATTATATTCAAATTTAAATTCCGTTATGACTGACAATTAATTATTTTCAGTGGCGGATTCAAGAGGGAGCCCAGCTGGCCCTCATCCCCCACTAAATTTTTCAAAACTATAGATAAAAATGGAGAAAAGAAGAAATTATATTCAAATTTAAATTCCGTTATGACTGACAATTAATTATTTTCAGTGGCGGATTCAAGAGGGAGCCCAGCTGGCCCTCATCCCCCACTAAATTTTTCAAAACTATAGATAAAAATGGAGAAAAGAAGAAATTATATTCAAATTTAAGTCTTAAGAGTGCCATTTCCTTCCGTCTAGAGGTGCAATAATCATACATTTTCTTACCTCTGCCCCAACTATCATGTGAATGAGGTGGTCTAGACCTCCCTGGGCATCCTCTGTTTTGAATTCCTAGATCCGCCACTGCTATTATTTGACAATCCACACTTCCACATGAAAACCGGGACGGCCTCCCGCGAACAAGCAAGAAGCTCCCGGAAATAACCAGAAGGATTATTAACCAGATTAGTGGCAGATTCAAGGGGGAAACATGCCCCCTCCCCACCTAAATTTTTTCAAATTATAACAAAACGGGAGAAAAAAGTCATATTCAAACAAGTCTGATAGTGTTATCTCTCCATTTAATTCTGCGAAAATCAACCATGGTGGGGCTGAGTTGGAAGGACCTTCCATCTATGAAAGTGTCTTCTGGCTACCGCGCCCCCCTGCCCCTTCTACTTCGAATTCTTGGATCTACTGTACCACTGCAATTCTCCCGGAAATGACTTCTTCCAACTTGGGACCCATGGACTACGACAAAATCATAATGTGAAATGATGATTGTACCTGCATTGTGCTTCGTTGTATCACAGCGAAGGAACAACAAAATACGGTATATATAACGGATTGATTGAGGTTATTGTACAAAATAATTATGTTTCAAATTATAAATACCTACAGTAATATTAAGAGACAGAATTGAGGTAGCTGATTTTGGTAGTTTCTGTCAAGGCTTTCGCAACCCACCAAAACATTGTGGTGACCTGCTGGTTGGTCACGACACAGTGTGTGGAACATTGGTCAAGTACTAAGTTTAGGCCTAGTGGTGAGAATGAAAAATAATGTTTATTGCTGGTGAAGTGATGCATTCGTCCAGCTGCCTTTTAGGCCTCAATAGCTGATTCAGGATGTCCATGAGTTTATTGATAACATTGTTAAGTAATTCTGTAAAATTCCCACATTTCCCATAGGATGCAGACTTGCTGGTTTTTAATATTCCAGAGGGTATCACTTTATAGGAGGGATTTCCTTCTGGTGTTAACAAAAAGTCACATCCACTTTACTTCAAGGTATTTTATGAGAGTGTGGTTCAAATTCTGAATTTGTTTTTCCATGTCCAAAAAACCCTTACCCCCAAACCTCAAGAAACTCGTTTAAATTGTCAATAGTTTTTTTTATATTCAACTAAATTTTTGAGGTTTATTGTTTCTTGGTATTTATTTTCCTAATTTACAGAAACAACAATACATCTTTATTTAATAGACTAAATCGATAGGTCCAATTTCATGTTATATGATATTAATTATTTGTTATAATTTTTTTTTTCATTTAACTATCTGTACCAAGTTAGCTGTAAATTACAACAAATACATGAAACTTGTTTAAAAGGATTGAAATAAAAGTAGCTTTGATGCGATTTTGAAATAAGTTATGACATTTTTTAAGGAACTTAATTTACATTGATTATTAAAAGTTTGTTACAAATTATTTCAATCTCTGTCTAGAGTGCTTCCTGCATTTGTTTTTATGGTTCTATTTTATTTGTTTATTTTAACACCAGGTTTCAACTGAGTAATATACAGTAAAAACCAAAATGTAAACAATTAACACAGCTTCAATTTGAATAGGTAGTTTTAGGATCAATAAAGGATAACCACATTATACTGGTACCTGTAACTTACTTGTATCCTATTTTTTTCCTGTGTCTATGTTTATGTTATCTAGTCTTGCATCATGTTGAGGGTGTATATTTGTCCTGGTTTTTTAGTCTTTTGATTAGCTTGTGAAATGTGCTATTGTTTGTGATAAAATTGTATTTGTTTTAATTCAATATTGTTAATTTGCTGTTTTAAAATGCCTAAATGCTGTACATTAAATATAATTTTATTATAACTCTTTTACCAATTTTCAATTACTTTTTATTTTGTTTGAAAACAAACAAATAAGCAAAAACTCATGAGGGGAGGTTATGCTAAGCAAGTGATTTTTTTTTTACTTTGACCTTTCACTAGTAGGATTAGAGTTTGAATTACAGTTATAGAATTGGGAGTGAGCCAGTGTGTCAACCAACAATTAGCAGTTTGTTAATTCTGTCAAATGTCAATCTGGACTTAAGTGAACATATGGTAAAAAAAATTTAAATTACCATTTAATTATCAATAGCAAAATATAATATTAAGTGGTTTTAATGATGCTTTATTCCAAATCTTTTCCATCCCGATTTTCTTTGACACTCATGCATGTTGACTCTATCTTCCCCTCTTTCCCACTTCCCTTTTTTGCTATTATTGCTATTATTCTGAGCTGTCTTTCAAACATATGCATCCACCCCATGCATTTTAGTTAGTATAAACAGGCTAAAATACATGGGATTGCATTATTAATTACCGGTAATGCCTGAAAATTGGCTTTCACACAATAAGGTACTTTTGTTTTCCCCTCCCCTTGGTAGAAAACTTATACCAAAAATATTGTACCGACTCAAGATTTTCAAGCTTTTGGGTTGGTTCGGCGCTTGGAGAACACTATTTTTTTAGTCCTTCCTAAAGTTATTTAAAATTGTCATCCTAATTTATATAATTTTTATTAATTTTATTGTTATTATAAATTATACACATTGTATTGACTTTCGAAAACCATTATTTGAATGCAATGTTCTTACATACTGACCGCTTTTTTTACTGTAGGGACACAAAGATCATCGTAGATTAGCACTTAATAATAATAATAATAATAATTGATTTGAACGTACTGTATACTTTTGTATCAGTGGCACACTTTATGCAGTTACCATAATATCACATTTCAAAACCATGACCCTAAAGGTGGTCCACAACCCACTAAGCTGTGACAATTAATTCCTGATCCAAATGTCGTCATAGGTACAATACACGGCAATACCAATGGCTTAAAAGCATAAAACATTTAGGTGTTACTCTGTTTATCCTTTGTGTATTCTCTTTGAATCGAAAACCACTTCTTGGGTGTTTCCTTGTTACATCATGCAAAACTTTGAGTTTTTTTTGTAAGTGCAAATCCTTTGATTTGCCCACCTTGTAACTTGCACCATATTTATTGCGAGCTTTTGGTATGTAAACTAAATTTGTTAGGTGTGACATTCAAATAAGCAAAAATACTCCCATGGATTTGTTTTCTTAACATCTAGCAGTTTTTAACATCAGGCATTTTTTGAGTAGGAATACAAAGATTTATTTTACTTTCTTTTACAAAAACTAATTTTATTATTTACCAGCCTGTTTACCTCTAGTAGTACACGAATGAATAGTATAAATACCCTCACCAAGAACATTATTTCAATTTTCCTGGACGTGAAACAACTACATGATTCATTATCAATTTGAATTGTTTTAAATTTTAAAAAAGTGGGGTTAAAAATGAAATCCAAATGTTTCTCATTGTACCAGTGTTATAACATGTGTTACTGTTTGATTTTAAGATTTATCAAATTTGTCAAATTGATTTCTCGTAAATTGTAGGAAATGGATAAGGCTCCACCCAAATGTATATGTCAGTGTGTTTATGTGTCATCTGTTTACTATCTATTCATCATTCATTTAAAAAAATATCTCAAAGATTGCGTTAACTTTAAGTTGAGCATATGGCGTTAGTTTCTGTCCTTATGACAATTGCTTTTCACTCGGACCTACAGGTCTTTTGTTAAAGTTTTGTGATCTGTTCTAATTTATTCCTTCTATTATTCCAGGACTCCATTTTATTGAGCCACACACAGTACAGTATATAGGACTTTCAGAAAAAGACAATTTTGGAGTAAAAGTTTAATTTCCAACATTTTATTTGTCCTATATATTATTATTAACATCAAGAATACAGTAATGAAACCAAAATTTCCTGTGTCCCTGTGAAGTATTCATTTGAAGTGATTTCTGAATGAAAACATGACCATATAATGCCCAAAACGAGTGTTTATATTCTTTTCATAAAGATCGCGAATCCATGCGAATAGTGCCCGCGATGATCAAAAAGTGAGATTTACTACAGGCATACGTAGCTCAAATTCAATATATTTTGGATGAAAACGATTGATTTTTTTTGCTTGAAACTTAGTTCTACGAGAGTTCGTAAATGAGAGGTTCGTAATTGGGAGATGTTAGTAGAGCCAAAGTAGTACTGCTGAGACTACCTAGTACATGTGATTGTAGTTACACAAATATTTGTATTACCACATACTGTTACTAGTCTTAAATGTACTAGGCCTACTGTACCTAGTATTGTACCATAATATTCATTTTCCTTTTGTGTTGCAAGTCAATTCTATTGCTGTTATAGTAGGTTGGTTTTCTTTTGTCTGTGACACACAAAGGAACTATTTTTTAGTGTGGCTGAGGTGGACCAGGAAACAAGGGTAACCCTCTTTCTTTGGGGTCTATAAAGCAAACCAGTTGTGTTCCCTGGCCTTCAGAGTCTCTATCCAAGAAGACTTGGTTTTAGCAATTATAAACCCTGAGCACTGCTGTGCCCCTGCTGTACTACTCGGCCACTTGCTCGAGCATTAATAGAATTATTTAATTTAAAAAAATGATTTCAGGCACTTCCTTTACTCGTTACAGTACTAGGGATCCTAAGCTGGGAGAACCACTTCTGGGAGATCTGATTAAAATGTAAAAACATGAAATCATGATGGATTTGCGGGAAATGGGGGGTTTTTTTCAGGAGAATTTTGCTTTTTGTTGGGGAGTACAGAAGGCTATACCATTTTCTGCGTGACTTCTGTGGCTCTCAAGAGGCTTGAGACCCTGCAATAAGAGAACACAAAAAGGCACAATATAATGTAAATGTTAAATAGTTATATTGTAATTAACACAATTTTAAATATCGACATTGTCATGGCTGCCAGTTTGTTCCTCCAAACAATTTTACATCATCATACAGATAGTTTTCTTCTATTTGATGTTCTCTTAATTTTTTTTTTAAGGGAACAAAATTATGGATTATAATGGAATATCTGGGAGGTGGTTCAGCCTTAGATCTGATGAAAGCAGGAACCCTTGATGAAGTGTACATTTCAACGATTCTGAGAGAAATCCTAAAGGGACTAGATTATTTACATTCTGAACGGAAGTTACACCGGGACATAAAAGGTGAGTAAATGCCAAATCATAAAGCGTCGTATGATGCAGCCCGATGCATATTTAAAATTCTACAATGCAACTGTCCTCTGAAGCAGACCTGTCGCATCTGCGTTTAACTTGTACACGCCTAACACGACAACAAACCACATCAAGCTGCATCATGCTATCAATTTTTTTACGTGATTATATATTTTTTTGTTCATTGTCAATTAAGCTGGCATTCACATACTCAAGCTTAATTTATTTTCAAATAATAATTCATGAAAATTAAGCTTACTATAGCTGCATTACAAAAATATATTGTAAAAAAGGCTTATTGTAATTGAAGATATAATTATTGGAAATAAGTGCCAGTTGACAGTTGACAAAAATGTACATATTTAAAATATTAAATAAACAATTATAAACATGGAAATTACATTATAATTTACCATTAATTATATTATGAATTTGCATCTGAAATTGTACTAAACAATTACAATATAGTGGACAATTATTTTGTACAAAATTAACAATTATTTTTCAAGGTGTGTTGAAATTATAATTATCTGCATGGCAATGTGTCATAAATTGTCTATTAGTAAATACTCATCTTTTATAAGTGTTAAATGTTTCAAGTTGCATTTTGCAGATGAGGTGGACTCATCTGTTATGGTGTTCATTCCATGTCATTAGCTTGTTTCTGATAAATAATTTAATTAATATTTTACTTCACATTTAATACTATTAGTGATGGTGACTCTTAAAGCACAATGTAGAATAGAAGATTCAAACAACTATGTTATACTGTAAATGTATTTCCTTATTAATCACATATCTAGATAGATGTGTACAGTAATAGATAATTTGTTTTTAAATAATTATATATTATGACTAACCTCTAAATAAATCTAAATAATTTTATACGTATTAATTTATTAATTTTTTTTGTTTAATTCCTAGTTTATATCCAATGTTGTTTAAAGATACAGTATATACACCTATTAAAGAGCTATTAAAATAGATTCGCTTTGTTAAGATGGTCAATAAATAAATATCGTAAATATATATTATTTTTGTAGCTGCAAATGTACTATTATCAGAGAATGGAGATGTGAAACTGGCTGATTTTGGTGTTGCTGGACAACTGACGGACACACTCAACAAGCGGAACACGTTTGTAGGCACACCGTTCTGGATGGCCCCGGAGGTCATCAAACAGTCGGCATATGATTCAAAGGTAGGCAGAAGATTGTTCATAAACATGATAATACAGTATACAAATTTTGTTTTAAAATTGTAACCTATATAACATTAGTAATAGCACAGGTAGTGGGCTTATCCTTTCAACACCTCCCACTGAAGAAGTGAAAGGTCTCACTTATCCGCTTCATTGTCTAATTCAATTCAGCACATTCTAACAATTGTCTTCTATAGATAAATACATTTTATGAGGAATATTATTAGTATAAGTTGCTTGGCAACATCAGTCAGTCATAGGATGTTGAGGATGTTACAGATGTTTTTTAGGTACATATTGATAAGATTGGTGATTGTGTGTTTATTTTAATATTATCACATAGATGCATGGTAGCTCATTTCATTTTAATAGCTAGAATGAATAAAGACAGTAGTTTAAGTAGCTGACTGACCAGGCACACGATTAGACGTCAAGATGTTTACATTATTTTAGATACATAAATAAATAGGTAATCGCATCTTTAATACTTTAATATTATCACTTAGATGTGTGACAGTCTCTATGCAATTACAAATCTTTTTTTTTTTTAATCTGGAAAGCTTGTTGAATACATGAAAAAAAGAGATAAAATCATTTAATTTACAATGCAAAAGGATAAGAAAATATAAGGTTTTGTTCTAAGTTGGTTATTGGCCTCTAGTATTTTTTTGGGTGAAGTGTGTCCATTAATTAGCATTGATTGTTCAAATAAAATGGTGCAGACCCCGGTAACAATTTAAATATCATGCTTCTCATATCATTTTCTCATCTGTCATGGATACCCTTAGATAATTTTTACTAGTAAGAATGACTAAAAACCAGCTGAATTGCCAATCACAGGATATACATGTCAGGAGGAGCTTTTCATTTTCAAAGTGGACCATGTGGATTATTATAGCCATTTACTAGCAAATCTAGAAAGTATAAATGCCACAGGTTGATTTGTTCAGCATGTAATAAGTGTGACAATATTGGCCGGATAATGATTAACGTTTGTTTCTATAACCTTTTGATCAATTCCCTGTCGTTCAGCCGGAAACTATGTACGGATTTTAACACTTGTTGAACAATATAGTATATTTTCATAGCTTGTGTGATAAGTGAGAATGATCCACACCATATAGGATGAACTGAAAGGCTTGATTGATTATTTTAAAAGTGGAGAAAAACTATTCGAATTTTGATATAGCCATTGTTTACAAAATGAGATTTCAGAATGTTATACCGTATTCACTATTTGATAGCTACAGTAAGTGAGTAGCATGGAATGGTTAGAAAATTGAAATCATGTATTGAAATTATGAACGATTGTTCTTGATATTTTACTGCTTACTGGTTTAAGCCTTTGCTAAGTCCACCCCTCTGTAAGGTGTTCTACAGTAAGCCCCCCTGTTTGTAGGCCTACTGTAGGCACAATTATGAACTCGCCCACTTTAAAGTGTAGTTACAGTACTGTATAACCTGACCCTTTCTTTCAGGTACAATTTTGTTTACCATTCAGCTTTAGGACATTATGTCCAAACTTTTTTGTATGACTACATTGAAAATGTTCCATGGCCAATAAATAGCCCTAGGTAAATTTTCAATTTAGTAAATTTAGGTCAACTAAAACAATGATTCTGATGTGGAAAAATCTTTCTGGCTGATGGATTTTTCAAAACCAGAATATTGAAATTCCATAATAATAATTTAAACTACCGTACTTGAAAATATTGGCATATATTTCGAACCTTATGTTAACTGAAATTTTACTATATCAGTTGGTCTAAACCATAGATGGGCAAAGTGCGGCCCGCCAGCGATTTTTTTGCGGCCCACTAAAATGAATTAAAATCCCTATGTGTGCGACCCACCAGTCGCCATTTGCTAGGAAGCACCTTGTTTTATATGGCGCGACACCGATCATATGTAAAAATTACAATTAAAACTCAGAATAAATTGGTGTTCTTGGAGGATTTTGGAAGCACACGGAAACAACAAAGTTTGATTGCGGCCCTCAGTGTTAGAAATCAAAAATTCAATTTGGCCCTCCAACCGATTTGTAAGCTAAACATTAAGGATCTCAAAACTGTAACCTGAATAAATATACAAATCGCCGGTATCTGCCTACCAACTGTTACTCCTGTGCAATATAGGAATTGCACTCATATAATGGCAAATATTATTATTTTACACTACTCATTTTTAAACAATACATCACCTCTAGTGAAAATAAAATATATGTTAAATTCTAAAATACAGGTTACTGATTTACCTAAGAATAAAATAGAGAACACCAATGAATCTATTCAAGTTTTATTCATGAAAACTCTTTGTTGAGATATGATTATTTTACAGAGTCGCCCATGATGACCTTGTATGGGGCGATATCAATAAAAAAATATTTTAACCCGCCCTCCAATTTCTAAAGCCCTGTAGCTTACTCATAGTAGGATTCAATGTATTTATTCATTACTTAGCATTTGTTGTGGCTTATTGAAATTCAAGGCTAATACGTTTTTGTATAGTATCTAGCTACATACAATCATTGATGGAGTTTTGCACTTTTTTTGATAAATGTTGCTAGGCAACCATAGAATAGATATTCAAATTAGATTTGCAGACAAAGTAGGTTATTGTGCTTTTGGGCTGAACAAAGGTGGAATATAAAGGTAATGTACTTTCTATTGTTATTGGTTTTAGTCGGATATGAATGAAGTGTATTACCTTTTTAAAACTATCACATGCAATGTTTTCTATAGAAAATCAGCTAAAATATTCTGTATTAAGCATTGAATTCTAGTTTATTGTGTTATTACATTTATTTTATTTTTCCTTTGAATTGCATTTTTTTTAATAATACCAATTCCAGTCTTCAAAGAAGCAGTCAAAATTATAACATAAGCATACTTAATTACAACATACAGAGTAGAAAACAATATGAAAACATAATACAGGTACCGCTAAATTACATTTAGATGTATATTATAAATTGGAATCTAATATTGAATCATTTATAATATACATCTAAATGTAATTTAGATGTATATTATAAATGATTCTATATTATAAATTGGAATCTAATATTGAATCATTTATAGATAAATGGCATTATTTATCATTAAGTTTAAGGCTCATCTGCTCATAATTTTGTAGATTGTTTCATTGTTTAAATACTCTGAATATTATTCAATTTCTTTTTCCTTGAGCATTTTTTTCCAGTTTTTTTAACAAAATTTTTAGGTTTAGGGAGTGGAACTGTTTTTATTCATGAATTCTTGAGCCTGGGATTGGAAAGCAAGCAGCTGCTTTACTACCAAATTAACTCCACTCCACTAGCTATTGCCTGTGCTATGAAAATATGATTTGTGATGTCAAATCCAAGAATAAAAGCAATCCATATCAATTTCCTTATCAGGTAGTAAACAGAAGTTGAAACAGTGAAGTAATTTATGATGATACTACATGCCCTAATATGTTCTAAACCTCGCGAGAGTTAGTAGAGTATTGGCCAGCCCTACCAGAATACCAGGGTCCCAATTCTACAACAACTCATGGGAATCTCCCGGAAATCACAATGGTCTCCCGCAAACAAGCTAGAATCTCCTTCAAATTCATAATATTTGCGTGATTTCACTGCTTTATTATCAATTGTCTCACGGAAGACAGTGCCGATGTGTATCACTACAGTATGTGCAGCAAAATAAAATGATGTGTTAAAAAAAGCTCATTTAAACAGATTTGGAAGTGACTTCCTACCAACTTGGCAGTGGTGGCGCTAGCGGGTTGCGGGGGAGGGTCAAGCCCCCACCCCTTACTGGCCAGTGATCGCCGGAAAGTCAGACCAAAAAAAAAAAAAAAAAAAGGGCTAATGAAATGGAATGCATGTTTTTATTGAGTTTGAGAGTATACAGTTAAACTTGCCAAAGTCGAATCCAAAATAGTAAAATGTTGATAAATTGTTCCACTTTAGATAAAATTTGAATTACAGATCGTTAATTATTAATGGAAAAAACAACAATTTGGCATGTAAAATAAGATCAACTTTAGAATTAATTGTGTTTTCCAAATCTGAGAGTGGAATTTCCGGCCATCCAGAGGTCCCATTATTGAGGTGGGGAGACGCCCCACTCCCAAACCCTCCCCCTGGCCTGGTCAGGAGGTTGGTTCTCAGTTGCGCTGCGCACCAAAGTTATTCTTATCTAAGCCCCCGCCCTGTCAGCCAGTTTCCCCACCCCCACTAGAAAATATATCCTACAGCAACCACTGCAGTTTTGGACCACAGACACTGTGCAATAAACACACACAATTATGTACTGTAGTCAACATTGCTAGTGAACACCAGGGTGTTGTCAGTGTTGTGGTTTGCACTAGGTAAAGGTAAAGTTCATGAGTTAGGAAGCATCATGATCCCTGTTGCGGTTCCAATGACAGTGAGGTTATGCATTGGGCAAGAGGCCTAGAGAAAAGTTGTTTGTGCCCATGACCATAAATTTGTGTATACTGTAGCAAGGGTATTGCATCTCAAAGGGTAGTACAGCTCAGTATAGGGACTAACAAGGGCTGAAATTTCCACCAACTTGTTTTTCTCACAGATTATAGTTTTTTTTTTTTCATTTTTACCAATTATGTTTGCCGTTGGAATGGTGAATCAAATACTAATATGAAACTTATACAGTAGTGTCAGATTGTTTGTTTTTGTTTAAAGTGCGGCATGCCCACAGTTAAACTATTTAAGGGTGCCCTCTGCAATATTGTGGAAGTGAACTCCCTACAACATATTCTAATATAATAATTAAATTCAAGGTTTATTCCAAAATGACTCGCAGTTAAAAATTGAATTACAAGAAATGGTTACAATTTACATATTACAAATATAAAAAATATACATTAAAAACATTTTTAAAAAAATGAAATTTAACAAGATAAAGGAAGTAATAAATGTTACGAATAAAGTTGAAAATTTACACTAAAACATAATTGAATTTATGAATCAAGTGAAATTAAGAGAGAAGGGTTCAAACAGAATTTAAAAAAAAATATTTACAGATTGGATTACAGAAACATTAACATTACAGTACTCCAGAGAATGTAAAAATTACATGAGTATATTTATTATTGAAGAAGATGTGGCATTCTGAAAAAAAAACCCCCAAAAAACAATTAAAAAAAAAACAACAAACGAATAATAAAAACAAAACTAGGTACATCCTGGTGCGTAAAAAGTCAGTCTGATGTCAGAGGGTGGCCCTCCAAGGCTGTGTATCATGGAGCAACCTTTGTTTAGGTACAAAAATAGTAGAATGAACTCTATTTACTGTACACTTTGTTTATTGTAATGCTCACAAATTGAAACTAGACACTGGTGTAGAGTAAGTTTAACTTAACACTACAGTGTTGAACTTAACATAAACATAACATCTATTCATCACTTCCTTTTCGTCTGAAAACTGTTTGTCAGAGAAACAGTGTTTTCCCACCAGGAACTGAATGGAAAATAAATTCTTATAGGATTACACATTGTTTATGAGGAAATTAATTCCCAAGATATATACAAGTGTAAAAAAATGAGGTTGTTAATGTGATTAGCTTGACCTTTTTGCTAGTTTTAAATAATCATATGCATTGTTGTTGTTGATTGTACATGTAATGCATGTTTGTATAAGAGACAGGTTTACGGTGGTTTACGTAATTTGAACCCAAGACCCCAATATTAAATGGCAAATGTCCTTCTGCCAGTCTACATTTCCAAAGGGATTATTAATTATAGCCACTAACTTTGTCAAGTATAGCTCTGCATAAGCCTGGTTCCTTTACAATCGCTACATTCTATCACCGATAGATTTCGGTACTGCTGATTGGTCTGTCAAATCTGGAAGCCTCTCTGATTTGTGTTGTGCAAATACCCAGGGTATTGATTTTACAGAAACCACACCTAGCGATAGTGTAGCTATTTTACAGAAACCACACCTAGCGATAGTGTAGCTATTTTATGGGTTTGACAAAAGCATGTGATTTGCCTAAATATGGTCATTTTGACATCACATCATTACTATATATGGGTGTATAGTGTGGACAGAGCTTCAGATAAAGACATTACTGAGTTATTATTAATTTGTTTCTTTTTTTGTTTGTTCTTTGCAGGCTGACATTTGGTCACTAGGCATTACTGCAATAGAACTTGCCAAAGGCGAGCCACCGAATTCAGACCTACATCCCATGAGGGTACTATTCCTAATTCCGAAAAATAACCCTCCACAACTTGATGGGTCCTACTCAAAAAATTTTAAAGAGTTTGTAGACTCTTGTCTTAATAAGGATCCAAAATTTGTAAGTACCTATATATTTGATTAATTTTCCATTGCTGCGCACCAACTGCGTCAGCTGATGGTTGGTTGACTTGATTATTATGTTAAGACAACAACAAAATGAAGTGCTTACGATGAATTGTTTTCGATTACGATCCACTCAGACTGATAATCGACAGATGCCAACTGATCTCACAGATGCCTTGTGTGCCCAGCTTAAGAATACATTTATACATAGCTTGTTAGAAGTATAACATTAAAGACCTAACCTTTTTAATTATATAAGGCATGACGTAACTGTAATTAATTTGTTTTCTTAAAGCGCCCGGCAGCTAAGGATCTTCTTAAGCACAGGTTTATCAAATCAGCAAAGAAGACCTCCTACCTTACAGAATTAATAGACAGATTCAAGAAGTGGAAGGCTGAAGGCAATGAAAGTGACTCTGATTCAGGCTCTGAAAAGTAAGCCATAACACAATTTGCCTTCCATACCGCTCTATATCAAAGATTTATATGACACATTTTGGCTTGCATACCACTATATCAAAATTTAGCAATACATTAATTTTAGAATTATCTATTTCCTGGTACCATACCATTTTCCTTAACTCTGTTGATACATGCAACATATTTTGCCTTCCATACCTCATTTGTATAGTGACATGTATTACTCATTTTGCCTCCCATACTATCAGCTGTTAAGTATAAATTCAGAATTAACCTTTATCAAATTAACAATCCTAATACTTTTCTTCCATCCAAAAATGTGCCTTTCCTTCATGTTTATAGGCCTTACATTCAACTCATACATTGCCTATTATTATTTTTTCATTACTACAGTGAGGGGGAACCATTAGGTGGCAATAATAATACATCCGCTGATTGGATATTTGATACGGTCCGTAATGGACCAGGTGCAGTTGTCAATCAAGTACCGGCCAATGATGATGAGCGGAGGCCAAAACAACCCAAGTCAGAAAACTTACACACCTTGTTGATGCCATTATTGGAAGAGGTTTGTTGACTTAATATATGAACTGTCATTGAGAGAATTAGAATTTTTAATTGAGATCGAGCAGCTTAGCTAAACTGGTGATAGCCACAGTTCGTGCTTGAACCATGAAGATTCTTTTAGATCTTTTGTTCCTGGTGTAATTAATTATTTAGGTTTTCATAAATTGTTTTTTTTTTGTATTATAGAATTGTAATTTTTTCCTCTAATAATGTAAATAATATGATAGATTTTTGGTTATGGAGCCTTTTCAGGCCCGTAACATGACTTAATTTGTGGGAGGTTCGTTTCAATAAAAAGTGGACCCTTATCTCCAGTACTCTGAAGAACATTGTAAATATATCTAGGAATATCAAGTTTTCGTTTTTAAATGCGGACCTTCTCCAGTTTTTGGACGGTGTTGTAACCCACTTAACCCCCCCCAAGCTACGGGCCTGGAGCCTTTTCACACCCATAATGAGTGTAGGTTACCTCTATCAACTCCATGGTGGAAAATTAGTTCCACTAATAGGGTTGTAGCTGTAGAAAACTAATGGTGAATGGTAGACATTTTAAGTGTGGGTGGGTAATAACAGTGGTAAAATCTACATAATAAGAGTGGATTTTAAGGATGGGCCAGGGGATTAATAAAGGTGGATGGGGTGACGGGGCGGGCATGAAATTATGGTGGCTCTGCCTACCTTCGCCCACCATAACTAAATCCCTGCACCAAGTCGTTTAAAATACTAAAAATGACCATTAGGTTTTCATTGGAATAAAGATTTAATTCAGCATTCTAAATTTTCACGCACTCCCACCC